GGCGGCGGCGGCGGCTGCGGCTGGGCGTAGTGGAGGAGGGAAGGCTTGCTCTGGGAAGGCAAAACCGAAGGCATCGGCTGGCTGGCTTGATCTGAGTTAAAATGAAACAGCGGCTTGGTGCTGCCGTGCCGGGGCTCCAGCGCCGTGTGCGGGCTGTTCATGAAGCTCCGACTGAGATCCTGAGGCTTGGGCTGCAGGAGCACGTCCAGCGGCCCTCCCTGGGCCGACGCGCTGGCCTTGTACATGTAGTTAGCCATGACCTTGGGCTGGCCGCCGCCGCCCGCTACCCCCGGCAGCGGGGAGCTCTGCGGGCTGAATGGCTGCTGGCCAAAAGAAGGGCTGGGGATTTTCTCCTGCCCGAAGGGACCCGGGGACGGCCCGGCGGACGAGGGCAGGGCCGGCCAGTTGCTCGACTGCTGCTGCTGCTGCTGCTGCTGCTGCTGCTGCTGCTGCTGCTGCTGCTGCTGCTGCTGCTGCTGCTGCATCCGGACGTGCTGCTGCCGATTGGCGGCGATCTGTTTGAGCTGTTGGGCGTGGGACACCTCCTGCCAGCTCGGCAAGGCCCGGCTGGCCCCTGCGGCTGTCTGCGGCTGAGCCTGGCTCTGAGGGACCGAGGGGATGGGGGAGGAGGTGGAGAGGGCCGAGGCGGCCATGGAGAACGCGGGGCCCGCCGATGAGGGCCTCAACTGAGGCGAGCCCGAGGGCCCCTGGGTCAGGCCAGGCGAGTATTCGCTTTTGATCACTGCCTTCTCCACGGACAAGGATGGCCTGGGCGTGCTCCTCTGGCTCTGCTGACCCAGGTCCAGGTTAAATGGGTCGTCCTGCTTAATGGTGGCATTGATCATGTTCTCCAGCTCCAGGTCACTCATGGGAGGCACGGAGATGTTGGTCAGCTCATTGAACAGCTCCTGCAGCTCAGGGTCCATCAGCTGCTCTCCAGAATCGTCCCCGTACCTGTTGTTAGAAAACATATTCTCCTGGGCCATCTGGCCGTCCATGTGCTTACTGCAAGAGAGCGTCTCCCCCGGTTCCTTCTTCACCTCCTTCAAGGCCATGCTGAACAGACCGTTTCCAGGAGAGGGTGCGTGCGGCGGCAGCGTGGCGGGCTTCCTCAGCGGGGCTTGGCTCATGGGCAAGGTCCCTGCCATCATCTGACTTTGTCCATTATTTACTTGAAGGCCTCCTTGTCCTGCAGCGAGGTTTTCCCCAACACGGATTCTTTTGATATCAAGGAAGGAGTTGTCGACAAAGCCATTGGGCCTCTTGCTGTTGGCAGGAGACAGGCTGACGACCTGTTTTCTTTTCAAGGAACCCTGGAGCTGAAAGACAGAGGAGGAATCAGAAAGCAAAACGTGAGCTCTTAACCCAGATATACGTTTGGTCAAAAGAGACAAGACATTTGAACGTTTCTTCCATTTACACACAGGATGAATTCAAAACGAAAAAGGTACAAATGAAGCATCGTCTGGAATATAATGAAACTTACAGCAACACAAACGGAACAAAGTGTTTCTGGAGGAGCAGGTCCATTAAGGCTGAGAGGTCATAGTGGTTCCCACGATTGGTACTTTGGTCAATGGATGAAGACTCCATCATACGTTATCAGGAGTTACCGATAATACCTACGATCAATCACCAAAGTGGTGGTGTTTTCTGGAGCAGACCAGACTGTCCCACACGCATGCACACACAACCCTTACGGCCACTGGCCACTGGAATGAGCACAGTGTTGACAAAGATGGGAAACGCTGAAGAGTCTAAGGCTGAGGCACCTTCCAGATCCAACCCCTTCAGCACTATTCTCCTCTACATAAGTAATTAGAATAGTTTATATGTCCAAGGAGATAGCTTCTCTGTTGTTTAGTTATTTTTCTTCCTATGATTCTGCAACTCTGCAGTCAAGCCCATGTAGCAACACGGGGTGCGTGCACAGAAGCCACGGTGAGATTATCGTTGATATTCTAAGCAGAGATTTTCTGGGGTATTCATTTTTTACATGACCTGTCTCTAAATCTTTTAACCAAAATCAAGGCGTAGAAAGGCAATATCACAAAGTGGTTAAGAATTCAGGCTCTGCACTATTTCCAATAGCCAAAACATGGGAGCAACCTACATGTCCATCAATGGATGACTGGATAAAGAAGTTGTGGTATATTTATACAATGGAATACAACTCAGCCACAAAAATGAAGAAAATAATTCCATTTGCAGCAACATGGATGGACCTGGAGACTGTCATTCTAAGTGAAGAAAGCCAGAAAGAGAAAGAAAAATACCATATGATATCACATATATGTGGAATCTAAAAAAAGAAAGAAAAGAG